TGGCTTTATCCATGTGGTCCAGTAGCTTTCTTCAAAAGCTCACTCTCACTGCTATCAGGAGCACACATAAGGAACCGACCATGGGGTTAGGGTGTGCATGGGTATGCAGAATGCTGAGGGTGCCTGTTGGCCAGTTCAGGGGACCCACACCTGAGGTGGCCCCAGTGACTTGTGTGCAGGCCTCCCATTGGAGTTCACGATGTGGTTAGTAGGATCCATGTCCCTTTGATATGCTCCATTCCAAGCCCTGGCTGCTATCTTCCCAGCTGCTCATGGCTCCCCAGTCATGCAGTTCATGTCTCAGTACACTGGATGGGGTGAGTATGAAATGGGCCTCTCTGGCAGCATCCTGCACAGCTGGGAAAGCCAGATGCTCATTCATATGCTCTCACTTTCTCCTACAGGAGAAATCATGGGTTGAGAAAGCCTCTGTTAGCACTGAGCTGTGCTGCCTTGGGGTGGGAGTGATGCAGGGAAAGCTAAACCATTCCTCTTATCCCCTTCAATGCACCAAGTCTGATTATTTTTGCTCCAGTGGTGTGCGGGAACTTCTCTGCTGACTTCTGGGCTTCCACCTCTCTTGTCCAGAGATGATTGTCAAAATCAGTGTTCTTTGGGGGAAAGATGATAGAAAATTCCTATTCTTCCATTTTGATGACATCTCTCTCAGATAGGTTTTTCTTTCAGTACTTTGAATGTGTCATGCCACTGCCATCTGGCCTTCATAGTGTCTCATAAGAAATGAGCTCATAATCTTTTTGTGAATCTCTTTTATGTAATGAGTTGCTTCTCTCTTGCTGCTTTTAAGAAACTCTCTTTGTCTTTAGCCTGTTTTATTACATGTCTATGTTTGAATATCTTTGAGTTTATTCTACTTGGAGTTTGTTGAACTTCTTGTGTAGATCTTTTTCAGAGAATTTGAGGAGTTTTATGTCTTTATTTCTTCAAATATTTTTGTCTCTTTTTTTCATTGCAGTATTTCATTGTACTTATTGTATTTTTCAACTCCAGAACCTATATTTGTTCCTTTTTAGTAATTTCTACCTCTTTATTGATACTCTCTGTTTGGTGAGAATTTGGTTCTCATAGTTTAATTTTTCCTTAGATGTGGTTTCCTTTGCTTTGAACATGATTAAAATATCTGACTTAAAGTTTTTGTTTAGGAAGTCCACCATCTGGGCGTCTGAAAGAATGATTTCTATTGTTTGCTTTTTCATTCCTAAATATGGACTGTACTTTCTTATTTCTTTGCACATCATGTGATTTTTTGTTGTTGAAAACTGGGCATTTAAAATGACACAACGTGGGGGACAGTGTCAAGATGGTGGTGCAGGCAGACTCTGAACTCATCTCCTCCCTTGGACACAACAAATTTACAACTACTCTTGGAACAACTAGAAAACTGGATAAAAAGAGAGAGAGAGAACACTGAAAACTGGATAAAAAGAATCCCCACAACAAGGGACAGTGCTGACTGAGGTGGAAGAGGCAGAAATTCCATTCTGGAGAGAAAAAAAACCCACTTTGGTGAGCCATGACAATTCACAACTGGCCAGGAGCAATCCTAAGGTACAAAGCTTTGCCTGAAGGAGTGGGGAATCTGAATGGGGAAGGCTTAACTGTTATAAGCAGCTTTTGGACTCACAATATCTGGCTTTGCCAGCTACTAACAACGATGGGGAATACCCCCAGGAAATCACATTAAATTCAATCTTTTTTAAGTGCTCATTAATTTATTGAAGTCTCCTACTCTTTTGCTATCTATCTTAGCAAACTGACTTAGTGAAAACAGGGGTTTGTTGGCTCTCAAAACTATGAATTCCCATAGTATATCTGGTGGTAGCTTAAGGCATGGCTGGATCCAGAGGCCCAAAGGAATTCTTAAAACTTAGTCTCTCTCTTTCCATCTTTTGGCTCTACTTTATTGTTTTGGCTCTATTCTCAGCAATGTATTTCCATTTGGTGTTTCCCAGAAAATCTGGTTTCATAATCCTTATAGTTAGCCTTCCCAGTAGTTTCCACACAGCACCGGAACTGGGTCTCATTCACCTAGCTTGTGTCATGTGCTCACCCCTGAACCAATTACTTTGTCCATATGTATAAAGATTCTGATATTCCTCTAAGTACTTGTACATCCTAGGTTGAGCCTGGGTTAAGTAAGTGTCTTCATTACTCAAGAGCAACGACGTTGGTGCCTTCCATGGGGCTTCTCCATCTCATCATCATAGAGCTATTAGGGATAAGGGGTAATCAGGGCTTAGAAGAGCAGAGCTATGTCTGAGGATTGGCAGGCTAAATATTAATGATCTCTACCAGCAATTTACAGATCCAGAAAACCCAGTGAGTCAGAGAAATAGATACAGGGAGACATGACATTGTAAGTTGTGTAGATAGAGGGAAGCAGAGTCTGAGGGAGAAAGACACTGAGGAGCATAAAGAGATAATTATAGATATAGTGAAAGGCAAAATTATGAGAAATTAGAGAAAGAGAGTCAGAGATAAAGACCAAAAAAGAGAGGGAGCAGTCTGCACAGGTGAAATGGAGAGACAAAAATGGATCCTCCTTTTACTGCCCAGGATACACACATACACACAAACATACAGACATGCGCACTGGCACACATGCACAGAGGCATTGTCAGGGAAAAATAATGATTCAAAGAGGCCGAGAACAACATGTCTATTGGATATAAGTGATCTGGGTCGGTTGTCTGGGAGATTCATTCAGGGATAGTGGGACAGTCATTCTAGGGAGTAAGATTTGAAGCATAGTGAAGCCACAAATCCAAGGGTGGGATGGAATTGTGTATTTATTCATTACATAAATATCCATTGAAACAACAAGAAGACAACCACAACTCAAAAAATTTTGAATAGACTTTTGTCCAAAGCAGATGTACAAATGACTAACAAGTACATAAAAGATACCCAACATCATCTGTCTTGAGGGAAATGCAGATCAAACCACAGTGAGATACCACTTAACATCCACAAGGAAGGCTAGAATTTTTAAAAAATGAAACATAACAAGTGTTGGCAAGGATGTAGAAAACTTGGAACCCTTGTACATTGCTGATGGGAATGTAAAATGGTGTAACAGCTGAATATTCAAAACAGCATTATTCACAATAGCCAAAAAGGTACCAACAATCCAAATGTCTATCAACATATGAATTGATAAACAAAAAGTGGCATTTCCGTACAAGGATATATTATTCAGGTATAAAAAGCAACGAAGTACTGATGCATGCTGCGATGTGAATGACCCTTGAAACCATCATGAGAAGTGAAAGAAACCAGACACAAAATACTGTATGATTCCATTGATAAGAAAAGTCCACACTAGGCAAATTCATGGAGACAGAATGCAGATTGGTGGTAGCCAATGGCTGGAGGAGTGGTTACTGAGAGTGATTGGGTAATGGGAATGGAGTTGTCTTTTAGGATGATAAAAATGTTTTAGAACTTGATATAAATGATAGTGGTTGCTTAACACCGTGAATGTACTAAATGCTACTGAATTGATACCCTTATGTTAATGCTTACCAGTATGTGGTAAATCTAAACACGGTTATGTGAATTTCACTTACCATATATATGTCTCGTGTTCTTTTATGTGATGGTCAGTCAGGTGTGGCCACAAGAGAATAGGAGAGACACAAGAAAACAAAGTTTATTACACTCATAGGTCCTAGAGAGGAGGTCACCGCGTGTCACGCAGGGTCACAGGGGAAGCATCAGGTTTTGGTCAGTTGGCAGAAGACAGGAGTGAGAAAAGAGCTTTTGCCATGGCCGTTACTGGAGTGGGAAAGGCAAGGCAGGGCAGGGTGAACAGTTTAGGATTGGCTAGTTTGAGTAATTTCGGTGAGCTCTAAGCTAGAGGGGTGGTCCCCAGATGCCAGGCACCTGGTCCTGGAACGATTAGGGCAGCCGAGTATTGCCTCCTGAGGTGTACAGGCCCGAGAGAGGGGGTGTGGCTCCAGATCGGTTAGTCTTCAAATCCACGGCATGCACCAGGCTGCGTCCTTTGATTCAGGACTAAGACTAAGAATTGGCTTAGTCTTTATGGGAAAGGACAGCCTCTCCCAAGCCAGAAAGGGATTTTGTTTTTAAGATGTCAAAACATCATAATACACAGAAAATAAAAACTGTACACAATAACGTGTTGAAAAAGAGAAAGAGAGAATCTACTGTTCTGGGTCCTGGGAACACAGCACTGAACCCAGAGTCCCTGCTCTCCTGGAGCTCACCCTCCAGTAAGGGGAGCAGAAAATAGAAATTGAGGGCAGATAACCGGGCAGGGATGAAGACTTTGAAAACAGCAGAGTCAGGAGCCAGAGCATGCAGTAGTGGGGAGGGAAAGCTATTTCAATGAGACGGTCAAAGAAGGCCTCCCTGAGAAGGGAGCCTGGAGCAGAGACAAACCTGAATGGAGTGAGAGCTCCATCTGGAAGAAGACAATCCAAGGCGAGGAGGCAGCAGGTGCAAAGTGCTGAGATGGGAGCGTGCTGGGGATGTCTGATAACAGCAGAGCAGTCAGGAGGACTGGGAGGATGCGATGCCCAGGGCCAGACCACCCAGACTTATGTAGACCTGGGGAGGGCTTTTCAAATTGTTCTAATTAAATGGGAAGTCACTGAAGCATTAAGAGCATCTATGACACAGGCCTCCATGTTGCCCAACTACAGGGGGCACCATTTACATTGACCATGCTTGAAGGCTTCTCCCTGAAGTTGGCTGACTTGGCGGCCTTGCAACCCCAAGAGCTGAGAGAGTTGGCATCCCCAACTCTCTTACCCAGGGCAGACATGGCTAATCAATCACAGGCCCTGCTCATTCAACACGGGGATCTCAGAATGCTTCTCCACACCGGACCCCAGACTACCCCTGCTGCTTCCTCAGACCTGACCTGTGAGATGCTCAGTATCTGTCATTTTCCCCGACCCTTCGCTGAGACAAGGACCTCATGGAACTTGTCTGAGATCATGCTGACACAGGGCTGGAGCAGACCTGATCAGTTCTTTATTGGGAAGGGGATGCAGTCTGTAATGCGACAAATCTGTGACCCTAGAAGGATCTCAAGCTCGAGTTCCAGCTGGCTTGCAGTGAGTTCATAGCTACCATGGAAAAAGCCACGAGTATGGCAACTATGGCAACGCCAGTAAATCTGGATGATGCGGGCAGCGTGAAGCAAACGGCAGTAACGAAGGTGGATGCGCCACATGCGGACCCAGGACTGCAACTTGACTGCTGCCTGTGCTTGCAGCGCATGGCACAGTAGGGCCGCCCGCCGCCTCTTTTCCAGCAATTTCGCTATCGTCTGCCTCCACCACCGCTGAATGATCAAAGCTCTGAGCACCGCGTGCAGCAGGGTCCGGCGCACCAGGGTGCCCCGCCACCAGGCCTGGATCTTTATGGCTATTGGCTCATTGTCAGGAGGCTTCTTTATCTCTGGGGGGCGGGGTTTCTAGGAAAAAGAAGGGACGCTCAGGAAACGTTCCCCACCCACCTCAGCCCCAGGGTGTGTCAAGTAGGCATCCTGATCCATTATCAACAATGGCCCCTTCTTCAGCCATCAGGAGCACAGGGTAGGGCACCGGCTGGAGTCAGAAGAACAGGTAAGAATCCTGAATCTCCCACTCTCTCCCTTTTTTGAAGAAGAAGAAGATTAGCCCTGAGCTAACTGCTGCCAATCCTCCTCTTTTTGCTGAGGAAGACTGGCCCTGAGCTAACATTCGTGCTCATCTTCCTCTATTTTATATGTGGGACGCCTGCCACAGCATGGCTTGCCAAGCGGTGCCATGTCCGCACCCGGGATCCGGGTCGGTGAACCCCAGGCCGCCAAAGTGGAAGGTTGTGGACTTAACCGCTGTGCTACCAGGCTGACCCCCACTCTCTCCTTAATGGACATGTATCATGTTGCTCTCTCAGTCTCAGGGGCCTCATCTGCCACATGGGGCACAACTGACCTAGCTTTCACCTGGTTACAAGGGCCTGGTTGACCAGGCTTGGTCAAGAACACCATGGTCTATGGATCCAAGGGTTATCATGTTCCACTGGGCCTGACCACCTACCTGGGATGCATATCCTTTCCTTTCAGACCCCACCCGCAGGCTGGAGAAGTGACATCCCTTGCTTGCCTTTCACGCCTGGCTCCAGCTCCAATCCACAACCCGCTGTCTCCCTCTGTCGTCACAGTATTAGAAGTTTTTCTGCTCCACACAGTTTGGAGTCTTTCTCATTTATTTTATTTTATTTCCTTTGGTTCTCACACCTTAAACTTCAGTTAGTACACGAAAATGCACACGTTGTGCACACACACTCCCACATAATTCTAGACTTGGGTTTCTCTGTACTTGGTGATGCACTCCCCAAACACAGCCCCCACGCCTAATTCTGCATAGTCTGACTCCCACTTGTCAGGTTTCTCCTCCCTACAACCAAGTGTTCATGTCTCAGTCATCCACCTTTCTCAGACCAAGAAGAAAGGTGAAAAGGAGAGTCAGGGATGAGTCAATCCCTATTCATTCTGGCTCTGGCTAGGGCAGCCGTTCATTCTGGTTGGGCTGGGACATTCTTGGTTTATGATTATTGTTCCTGAGTAATAATTCATAGCACTATCTTTCACTCACAAACATATTCTGTTTTAGATGACAAATTTCATGATCATCCCATGGTATGAGCCACAAAGAAGAAAATCCATCACTCCGGGGTGACTTTCGTCAGAGATGTTGCAGGTTGGGGTCACCCTCAGCTTTGACCTCCTGTGGCCTCCATCGACCTACCTTTGGTGGAGGGGGTGGAGATGGTGGAGGTTCTTTTTTCTTTTCCTTTCTCTTCTGTTTCTCTCTCTCTTTCAGCAATGTGGTTTCATCAACGTCTTTTACTACGATTTCACAAAACTGTCCATTCTTCTGTAATTAGAGTTTAGAGGGGAAATGTATGGGTAGGTTGTTCTCTGTACTACTCTATGCCAGGTCCACCACATGCTCAACCTCCTGGCTTGCCCAGAGACCCTAGATATAGGACTTGCTTCCTGAGTTAATATGGAAATCCACCTTCCCCTGCCTGCACTTTAGGTAGACTGGCTCTCTCTTACACAGCATTGAATGCCCATGACTTGGAAATAGATGGTTCAAATCCCCTCAGGTCTGCAATCCCCTAAATTTCCCATAGTTAGGAGCACGATGGTTCCATTGCTGTCAGGTCTATACTCCTTCAGCCACTGCTCTGACAGGAAGAGGGGAGAGAGCTGTGATGTCATAAGGGCACTTATGACTCAGGCATCAGGATGGTTCCCAACAGTTGAGCCCTTTTTGGTGAAAATGTGGAACTCCTGTCCATTCTTTCCTGCCATAAATGCCCCAAATTTGGTTAACAAAGCAGGATACTGGAAATATTGGCTCACTGGGAGAAAAGTGTATAGATTTAGTCATTTCAGGATGGTTGATAAAAACAAATTTGAGACAATTTAAACCATCAATAGAGAATTCAATTACATGGATTTCAGTTCAATCAAACAATGGAACCAAATAATGATTAGAAAGAATTAAAAAAATTATTGAATAAGTGTTTCACAAACAGAGATTTATGAATGGCTAATAATCACAAAAAAGATGCCCAACATCATTAGTCATGGGGGAAATGAAAATTAGAACCACAATGAGATACCCCAAGACTCCCTAGAGAATTGCTAAAATAAAAAATACTGCCAACACCAGATATTGGCAAAGATCTACAGCAGGTGGATCTCTTATACACTGCTCATGGGAAGGTATGAAACAGGAGAAGCACTTTGGAAAATGGTTTAGCAGTTTCTAATAAAGTTAAGCGTATATCCACACTATAACTCAGCAGTTCTACTCCTAGGCATTTACACACAAAAAAATGAAAACACGTCTACAAAACATGTGCATGAATGCTCATAGCACCTTTATTCACATAGGTCAAAATTGGAAACAACTCAAATGTTCATCAACAGGTGACTAGACAAAGAAATTGTGATATGTTCATATGATGAAATAATATGCAGTAATAATATTGATGCACTCAATAATATAGATGAATCTCAAAAATATTAGGCTAAATGAAAGAAGACAGACATACAAGAGTAATTAGAGAACGATTTCATTTATGCAAAATTCTAAAACAGGCAAAACTAAACGGTAGATAAAATAATTCTGAACAGAGTTATATCTAGTGTAGGGGTATAAGAGGTACTGCCTGCAAACAGCACAAAGAAACAAAAAGAAATGTGCTATATCTTGTTTTGGGTGGTGGTTACTGGGAGATATGGAATTGTGAAAACTCATCTAACTCATCTATCAAGAAGTACTTAATAAAACCACAAAGAATGAGTTTGTTCTCTACGTACTGACATGGAAGGTACAAGTAAAACAAATTTAATTGAAGAACATTATGGTCCCTATCTAGGTATATATTTATAGGTATGAGTCATACAGGCATTATTTTTAAAAGGAGGTGATTAGGGAGATAAACTATAAAAATTTAACAATAATCATCTTTGATGAGGATAGTGGAATTGGTGGGGTCAGCTCACTGTGGCTGAATCTGCTCTGTCTGGACCATACCCTGTGTCTGGTCCATCTGTCAGGTTCCCAGTCTTCAGCCTCCTGGGAGATCAGGACCCACGCAGGCCAGAAAACTCATGAAGCCCCCAGGACCAGCCAGGGTCCCCATCTCAGGCTCAAGTGGCCACAAGCACTCTCCTGTCTTCCTCTTTTCCTGAGAGCCTCAAGGGCACAGTCAGGAGATGGGTGAGGGTCAGCCTCTGCACAAGCAGGCCCCCATCGCTGCCTGCTCCTGGCGTCTGAAGACACCCCTGGAGCCACAAGGTCAATGCCGAGCAGAAGGGCTCCTGGCTAAAGCCTTGGGGTTATTGTGAGGACCTGGTTCCCCCTCAGATTCACAGCCCCAGGGGTCACGGAGGAGCACATTTAGAGTGTGGAGGGTGAGTGTTGGGGAGACCAGTTGGGGCTATGGGGGAGATGTAGAGAAGAAGAAGAGGTCATTTAAGGCTGGGAGGCATCAGTGTGAAGTTAATGCGATGAGGGCGGGGGAAGACAGGAGCAAGTTGGAAGATGGGGGAAGTGGTAAGTGCAATACATGGGACAGGAAGCATCTGTTTGAAGATGAAGGTGTTAGCCATCCCCAAATGCCAGGCTCGCATCTCTGGATTAGTTTAGATCACAGCCCAGAAATTTTTTACTATATGTTACTATATTACTTTTCAGTTCCTTCAATTAGAAATTTTAAAAATATTTTGATCAGCTTTTCCAGTTATACTCAGCAAAAGAATTAATCTTAATTGCTTAGCACACCATTATCAGAAGTGGGAGTCTCTATCCTGTTATATTTTTATCCATTGCTTTAAGTTCTCCTTTTGTTAATAAAATACAGGTGTGTCTGTTTTGATCCAGCAAGAATGTCTCTGTACTTTTAATAGATGGATACTGCAAGTTCACATTTATTGTGATTTCTAATATGACTGGACTTATTGCCATATTGTTTCATAGTTTCCATCTATCACCATTTTTTTTTTCATTTTTCCCTATTTTTGTTGGATTGATTGAGTTTTCTTTGGAATTTTATTCCTTTTACTATTTTAGAAGTTGAAACAAGAGACTGCTAGTTGCCTAGCTATTATTCATTTTCTTAACTAATAGAACCATGATAATTTGGAGTAGCAATATGTCCAGATTAGAGAGGGGGAACAAAAACGACGACCTTCATCGGGCTCCCTTGCAGCTAAGGATGGTCATGTGGCACTCACGGGCCAATGATATGTAAGCAGAAGTCACTGGGTGGGTCTTCTGGGAAAGCTTGTAAAGAGGCTGCCTCAAGCTAGGATGGCCTTCTTGTCCTTTGCCTTTACCCTTCTTCTTTCCTGAAATGTACACATGATGGTTGGCACTCTGGTAGCCATATATATATATATGTTTTACAGTTGTAGAGTTTTTTGCGGGGCTTTTTTTGCAGGAGAAGATTCACCCTAAGCTAACATCTGTTGTCAATCTTCCTCCTTTTTCCTTCCTTTCCCACCCCCCAAAGCCCTGGTGCATAGTTGTGTATAATTGTAAGTTCTTCTGCTTCTTCCAGGGTCTTCCAGGGTCTGTGAGGTTCTGCGAGGGTCTGAGATGTCTACCTCTGAAAGCCCCACCTATAGCCTCACCTCCGCTGAGGAGGGGAAGGTGGCTCTACTGATTTAGGCAATACTAGGCAATACTAGGCAAGCCACAGACCTCACTATTAAAGGGGAGCCTCTTTCCTGAATCACATCCTATGCCTCATTCACTTCCTCTGCCTGGGGCTCTCTGATGCCCAACACCCAGAGGTCCAGACCATCTCTGGCTTTTCAAGACCTCCTATTTCAAGTTCCATCTGGCTTTGCAGACCATACAGATATGATAGGAAGTATGGAGGGACCTGGTAGCATTGTCTGAGGTCCTGAATCTAGCTGCATCTAAAGAGACATTTACCCCTTTGAAAAATGGGCTTCCAAAAGATATCCACACCAGATCCCTGGAACCTGTGAATGTTACCTCATATGACAAAAGATATAATTAAGTGAAAGATGTTGTGACAAGGAGCTTATCCTGGGTTATCTGTGTAAGACCTAAATGCGACCCATGTGTGTCCTTGTAAGAGCAAGGCAGAGGGAGTTTTGAGAGAGACACAGAAGAGAAGGCAATGTGAAGATGGAGGCAGAGATTGGAGTGATTCAACCTCAATCCAAGGAATGCTGGCAGCCACCAGAAGCTGGAAGGGGCAAGGGAGGAAATCTCCTCTAGAACTTCTGGAGGGAGTGTGGCTCTCCTGACACCTTGTTTTCAGACTCCAGCCTACAGAACTATGAGAGAACAAATTTCTGTTGTTTTAACCTACCAAGTTTGTGGTAATTTGTTACAGCAGGTACATAAACTATTACATCTCTTAACTTTTAGGTAAACCAGTAAATTCTCTCTTTTTTAAAGCTCAGTCAGTTTTCTGTCATTTGGAACTCAAAGAGTCCTGATTTAGTAGTTAAAGAGAAGAGAGAGGAGCAGAAAAATGGAGTGTTCTATGGGCATCAATGGAGGAGAGAAGATGGGAACTTTAAGAGTAGAGAAGGGGCCGGCAGGTGGTGCAGCAGTTAAGTGTGCAGGTTCCACTTCTCAGCGGCCTGGGGTTTGCCGGTTCGCATCCAGGGTGTGGACATGGCACCGCTTGGCACACCATGCTGTGGTAGGCGTCCCACATATAAAGTAGAGGAAGATGGGCATGATGTTAGCTCAGGGCCAGTCTTCCTCAGCAAAAAGAGGAGGATTGGCAGCAGATGTTAGCTCAGGGCTAATCTTCCTCAAAATAAATAAATAAATAAATAAGAGTAGAGAAAAGGGGCCAATGAGCTGTGCTGGTGTGATGATGCAGACACTCTTGTGAGAAGGAACACAGGTGGAGGCAGCAGAGCAGTGGAAATTTTATCCAGGCCACTGTGGTGGCAATACTTTAACAATGTAATTTCGCTGTTTTCTTGCTTCCATTCCTTCTGCTAAGGAGTCAGCTATTAGTCTAATTGTTGCTTCTTTGACGTAATCTTGTTCTTTATATTTTTGAGAGTTTTCTCTTTGTTGTCTTTGGTTTTCACCAGTTTTACAATTATGTGCCTTTGTGTGGTTTTCTTTTTAATTTTTCCTTCTTTGGCTTCTTGCATCTGTGGTTTTATGTCTTTTCTCAGTTTTGGAAGGTGCCCAGCTATTGTCTCTTCAGATAAGGCCTTTGCCTCATTCCCTGTACTCCTCTGGGATTAGATTCTAATTATATATATTTGACCTTTTCACTATATCCCTAGTGTCTCCTATCCTTTCTTTTGTATTTCCATCCTTATGTTCCTCTGTGCTTTACTGTTTATCTTTCCTCCTGATTTATCTTTCAATTCATTAATTCTCTCTTCATCTTTATCTAATCTTCTGTTAATCTCACCCATTGGATTTCTAATTGGCTATTGTGTTTTCCTGTTCTAAAACTCCCCATTTGATACTTTTTAAATAGATTTGTTTTCTGCTGAATTCTCATTTTTTCAACACATCAAGCATAGTTATTTTAAAATTTGTATCTACAACTTTATTATCTGGATCCTCTGTGAGTCTATATCTGTTGTCAGTTATTTCTCTTGTTTTCAAGCATTTTTTTGGGGGGTCTTATATTTGGTTATTTTTTATTGAGTGATAGATGTTGTATAAGAAAATTTTTCAAAATGA